AGATAGATAGATAGATAGATAGATAGATAGATAGATAGATAGATAGAGAGTTGGGAGCCCTACTACACCAAGTAGAGAACTCCTCCTAATAACATAAGAGGGAAGGCATCACCACACCTCACACCCTCTTTCCTTTGGCTTCTGTTGTTTTATGGGTTTTTCATTTCAAACAAAATTATTAAATGTCAAAGGGGAGTTTAAAACTAGGCATGGTGGCCCCACAGAATTCAGGAGGAGGAGGCAGGGGGATTAAAGGTTATTTTGGTTACAATGAAAATTCATGTCTAGCCTGTGTTCCATAAGACCCTGTCTCATAAAGGGAGAGGCAGGGGAGTAAAGGGGAGGGCTCTCCTCTTAAGCCTAAACATGGTTGGGCTGGTGAGCTGGTCAGCCCTGAGGGAGCAACTTCAGACCCCTCGCCTTGCCTCCTTGTCACCTGGCCACCCTGAGCAGTCTCCTGTGCCACTCCTACTGTGGTCAACTGGGCTCTCAGCTACAAATGCCTGGAGTGCTGAAACCAGAGAAGCCAGTGTTCAAGGAGTGAAAGTACATGAAGTCACTTGTCTTATTTACTGAGCATTTTGCAAATTGCACATGTGACATTTTGATTTCACAGGGTATGTCTTTGTTCTTTTGTTTTGTTTTGTTTTCATTTTATTTTGCTGGTTTAGCCTCAAGCCCAAGGCAGAAGACCTATCTGCATTTGAGTCCTCAAAGTAGGTTCTTCCCAGGTATTCTGTCTGTGGTGATGGTCCTGCCGTCTGTGATACTAACCCATGCATGAGCTTGCCTGTCTTTGTCCTTGGGCCACACGGTGCCCTCTCGAGGGCAGGTGAAGCCTGGGGCCTGGCCATAGCATGCTTTGAGTGTGAGAGCAGGTGTCCACCCTGGGGGGCCCAGACCAGCCTCCAAGGGCCCAGAAGAGCATGTCATGGGGCTGCAGGACCAGTTGCTTTGTCTATCTTATGTCACTGTTGGGTTGGGGAAGACCATGGCTTCCTTTCCAGACCGATCTATATCCAAGGACTTTGTCTTCTTGGTGGTATACTCCTTTGATAAATAACTCTAGCATGGAAATGGGGTCAATTCTGATGCTTTTAAGACTGGTGTCTTTCATACAAGATCACTCCTACCTACCCTGTGGTGGTACGCTCTGCAGACTTATCACAGCTGGTGGCTTCTGGGCGTGGGTCACTCATTTCCCCCTCAAGCTTCCCATTCTCTGTACACCCCTTTTCTTTCCTAGGACAGCAAACACAGAATACTGGTGCATCTTTAAGCCAGCTGCAGTGAGCTGGCTGTCCCAAGGCTGCTCTAAAGGCCACTTTGGCTTCCGCCCCCCTACAGCATGGAAGGAGCTGTGCATGGACAATCTCATATGCAACAGTCCCATTGCAGACACCCGGGAGATGAGCAAGCAACATTTGTGTTGAGTCAATTAATTAAAGTATTGCAGATTATTCTCTTAACATGCATAGGCAATAAAAAAAAATTTATTTTGCTCTACCTCTGTTACTGCCTGATCCCCAGCCGTACTCATGCCAGTGTGCCTCTGATACTTCCTGACAGGAGTATAGGCTGTGTTCCTTAGCATTCTTACTGTAGTCAGGTAGAAAAAAACTCCAAACCTTCTGCCCGGGAAACACATTGTCCCAGCAAAGGAAGTTAGCTATTAAAGTCCCAGGTTGACCTTTCATCGGGTGAAGGAAAGCTTACACAGGTCCCAAGAACCCATCAAGTGAACACAATTTTGAGTGTCATTTGAGCCTGGTTGAGTGAATGGGACTCCTACTTTTTTTAGCTTCATGCCCACTCTGGTATTGTTACCCTGACATTATGAAGTGTGTGCTCTAAGCAGGGCATTGGAACAAGCGGGCAGCTGGATCTCTACCCAAGTGGTAACCCTGTGGCACCAGGGTACCCAAGTGGGTCTGTGGTGGTTCATGAACTCTGGTTAGCACACAGCAAGCAGAAAATCCTGATTTGTCTTACTCAGTGTATCAGATGTTCTCTGCATAAAATTAGGCAGTTTCATTTGAATGTGGGCTCATCTTTTTGTGTGTGATATAGAATATTTTCATTCTTCAGGGTCCTAAGTTTGCTCATCAGTTCTCACTGAGTTGTTATAGACAAAGGAAATTTCCTTTTTAGTCAGCTTTGTATTGTTCTTAGACATGTAGCCATGGCCTCATAATGGCTTCTGGCCAGTGACCGACCCATTACACAAATGGGTGTTCTATAAGTTTGTATTACTCAGTGGCATCACAGCCATCTTGGTCTGTGTAAAAAGCAAATGCAATGATTTTCCTTTAGTGATAAGATCACCTAACAGCACATCTCTCAGAGCATGACCCAATCATCAAGTTGTGAGTAACCGTGTATGAAAATATTTGTTTGTTCATTCATTGAATTATTCACTCACATGAATATCTGAATGTGAAGTTGTTTTCAAAACAGGTTGCTAGGCTCTATTTGATTGAGAATTGTGATTAACCAGGGGACACTAAAAGCAAGAACTTGGCTTTCAATATGATACAAATTCTTTTTTTCTTTCTTTTTAAAGGTGTATTTATTTATTTTCTGTATGAGTGCTCTATCTGCATGTATGCCTGCATGCCAGAAGAGGGCATCAGATTCCAGTATAGATGGCTGTGAGCTACCATGTTGTTGCTGGGAATTGAACTCAGGACCTCTGGAAGAGCAGCCAATGCTCTTAACCTCTGATTAAGATTAATCTCAGCCCATGATGCACATTCTTTTCAGCAATTATAGACTAAACACTGGTAGGTTTCACTGTACAGGAAGTCTGAGGACTGTTTCATTTACTGGGTATTGGCAATTCCTATGGCTAGTGACCAGGGCTCATGACTAACAGGTACCTGCCTATGGAGAAGTGACTCTCAAGTCATTCCCACTGCTGTCTGAACCAGTGCTATCCTAGCATAGGAGTGTCCCTTCTGGCTTTGGAAGTGTGGGTACCTAGATATCAAGGGAAGAGCTCCATTTTGACATAGGGGATGAGAGAGTGCTTAGTCAGTGATTCTATTGCTGTGAAGAAATGCCATGACTGTGGCAACTCTTAGAAAGCATTTAAGAGGGGCTGGCTTACATTTAGAGGTTTAGTTTAGTTCATAGTCATCAAAGTGGGAAGCAAAATGGCACACAGGCAGACATGGTGCTGGAAAGGTAGCTGAGTAGTCTATATTTTGGCAGGCAACATTGGGCCTGGCTTGAACATTTGAAATACTAAAACCCACCCCCCAGTGACAGACTTCCTCCAATAAAGCCTCACCTACTCCAACAAGGCCACCCCTCCTAATCCCTGTAAAGTAGTGCCATTCCCTAAGGACGAAGCATCCAAATATGTGAGCCTATAGGAGCCACTCTTATCCCAACCACAACAGAGATGTAAAGACTGGTGGTGAGTTGGAGATTGTTCAGTCTCCTGAAAGCCCATTACTCTGGCCTCTGTGGACATCAAGGCATGCACATACTATACAAGGACACATGAAGGCTGTCCTGGCTTTTGTTCTTTTTTCATGAGTTTTGGTCATAGATTTCCTCAAGGAATGGGTCTCTCACTATAATCCAGGGGCAGTGTTCTTGTTTTCACTGTTGTCCCTCATCACAAAGCTGTTTGTACATGGTCTTAGCAGGTTCCATGGAGACTGTGAAAGGCCAAATCAAACTACAGGATGTGGATTCTCAGTGTATAGAATGAGGACATGAGCACTTGAAGATACGGTGAGGGGAAGCTATTTGTTGTATATGTGAGGGAGAGCGCAGCCAGAGGCATCTGGAAGATGCCAGCAGGGAGAGAAAGTAGTAGACTGAACATGGCCAGCAGTCTAGATCAGACCATGACAGAAGAGAGAAAAGGGGAGGGAGGGAGAGAAGGAGGGAGGAAGAGAGTGGGCAAAGGAGACCAAGAGGGAGGGGCGAGAGAGGACAGGGTTACCTAGAAATCAGAGGCTGGGGGAAGGGGAAGTCCAAGAGCTACACAAGTTTAGGGTGGTGGGTGGGGTGAGAAGAGCTAAGACCAGCTCATGCTTTGGTATGCTAGTAGACACCATAGTTAGCCATTTGTCCCATTGTTAGCCATTGTTCCTTTGAACCTGACACTCAAAATGTCAGGAAGTGGGGCTCTCTTTTTCTTTCTCAACAATTTTTTTCTTTCTTTTAATTTTTTATGTGCATAAATATTTTGCCTTCATGTATCCTTGTATAGTATGTGCATGTCTTGATGTCCACAGAGGCCAGAGAGAATATCAGATCCTCTGGAGTTGGAGTTACAGATGATTGTGAGCCACCATATGGGTGCTGGGAATTGAACCCTGGTCCTCTGGAAGAGCAGCCAGTACTCTTAACTCTTTTTTTTTTTTTTTACTTTTTTTTTTTCTTTTTTTTTTTTTTTTTTTTTTTTTTTTTTTTTTTACTTTTTTTTTTTTTTTACTCTTAACTCTTAACTGAGCCATCTCTCCAGCCCCCAATTGTTTTGCTTTCTTAAAGGGACAGAATCCTTAGCTGGGTTCTAGTGGCACACGCCTTTAACCCCAGCATTCAGGAGGTAGAGGCAGGCAGATCTGAGTTCAAGGCCAGCCTGTTCAATGAGCAAGTTTCAGGACAGCCAGGACTACCAAGAGAAACCTGTCTCAAAAAAAAATGGAGAGAGAGAGAAAATGCATATCAGAATCCTTAAAAGAGAAATTAATTCTGGCAATGGCTCACACCTACAAACCAGCTTCTTAGGAGACTGAGGCAGGAGAATCACAAGTTGTAGGATAGCTGCATTAACAAAGCAGGATATTGTCTCATGGAAAGGGACGGGAAGAGTGCATGAGGCCATGCATTGGACCCCAGAAGCACAGCTATCATAAAAATAATCTTCTAAACCAGGCACAGTGCTGCACACCTGTAATCCCAGCACTTGGGGAGGCAGAGGCAGAGGCAGGCAGATCCCTGTGAGTTTGAGGCCAGCCTAGTCTACAAAGTGACTCCAGGACAGCCAGGGCTTTGCAGAGTAACCCTGTCTCAAAAAAGCAAAAACAAAAAAACTTCTGCCAGTGTAATGCCACACACCTTTCATCACAGGCAGACAGATCGCTGTGAGTTGAGGCCAGCTAGTCTACACAGCAAGTTTCAGGACTTCAGCCAGGGTTACACAGTGGGACCCTGTCTCAAGCCATTGTCATCCTCTCACCTGATCCCCAGGGTTGTGAGGTTAAATGAAGAAAGTCACATGAGGCACTTAGTGCATTGTGAGGGCTTAACAGCATGAAAAGGAACGTCTGCTGTGGACCAGTGATGAGGAGGAATGAGGAATCATGGCTTGCACTACCACATTGAAGCCCACAACTGGTGGTGAGCCTTAGGTGTGTTGATTGACATGTGATGAAGGTGAAAAACTTCCTCCAGCCAGAATTAGCTTTTCTGGCTCCTTCTTCAGTTTGCTTTGGGCCTGCAAGGTTACGATTTCTTTCTCTTTGTCCCTACATTTTCCGATTTTCCCGACTGATGATCAGTGCAACTGGTGTGGTATTTGCGTCTAAGTCGGCAAGCCTGGAGAACTGGGATTCATTTTATTCTTAGAGGGAGTAACATATGTTCCTGGGATCTGTGTATGCACACAGGGCACCTTAGGCTGAGTGCTTGGGCTTCAAAGCCACAGTACTGATGATACTAGTAGCCAGGTATGAGTTAGCTCAGCCATTATACT